TGTCGATGAATGTGTTGGTTCAACTCCTGGATGTAGGCTACAATGGATTTGTCCCTCCTGGTGCTGATCATCTCCCATTGCTCATCTCGGCGCCCACATATCTGGTAGATGGTGTCCTTAAGATCCTTGCGGTAAACTTCGACAATGCGTCCCATGGCGATGTGAGCTGCCATGCTCTTTCCTAGACTCCAGGTTGGTGCATCAAAGGAAAACTCTTTGGGCTCAGTCACTGGTATGAATGTCCTTCCTGGAACATGTACTCAAATGGTCCAACACTCTTCTTCAGGTAGAGTGGCAGTGTAGGTCCCGGTGAAGCTTAGTATTCTGATGTTTAGGTATCTAGTGGCTTCCTTCAAATGTCATCCAAAAGGGGTGTCTTCATTCGGTTGAGCAAACATGTTCCTTGGGTCCGTCATCTATAGAGTGGAAAGTGGAGAAGAGTCAGAAATGAGTAGCGAAGGGTGTCCTATGGCTTATCTTAGTGGTTGCGTCATATGGTCAGTGTGTGCTTTGATACCATCTTGTAGCGATCCGACCTCAAACGGTCAAATCTCTATGTATAAGTGTCATCCCTGGATCGGTAATGCTAACACACATAGTACTTGAAGGATTTATAACAGAGTTCAATCACACACTTATTACATCGAATATCTCAAAGAGAGTACTTATTACAATAATATGGCCGAAGGCCAACTAATGAAGATAACAACGGAAGGCTTCAAAGGCAAAATGAGTCCATCAACTCCAACGACATAGCTGAGTGCAAGACAACGACCTAGCGCACCTTACTCTTCGTTTAAAAAGTCTGCAACATAATACATCCTAGCCCAAAATGGGTCAGCACATGGAATATGCTGGCAATATAACACTGTAGAGCAATGAACATGTAGCAGCTATAACTATATGCATATTTGGCTGGTGGAGGCTCTATGGTTATTTTTGCAGAAAGCTAATTTTTCCCTACAACAAAGGAATATATTTTATTTAACTACAAAGTTTGTTGAAAACATTGAGAAGGTTCCTCCAACTCAATCCCAAATTAAGTAATCATCAACCCAACAATTTAATCAATAGACTGACGAGATCAAATCAATAAGTCAAGTACCAGATACTCAAGATGTCCATAACCGGGGACACGGCTAACCATGATTAGTTTATACACTCTGCCGAGGTTTGCGCACTTTTCCCCACAAAACTCGATCTCCTCCGTTGGATTTCTCGCACTACATGGTGTTTGAGAAACGGATGACCGAGACACAGTCTTTCAGAAGCATTAACTCTTTACTCTGGGTAGACAGTACCACCTACATCCCCTACATCTGCTAGCCTACCACTGAAAGAGGTCACACAACTTAATCAACTATGCCAGAGCCCATAATGGCTTGTGGCTGCACACAGAAGTTTCCAGCATGAATAATCTTATGATCCCTTTGAGCCTGGGTGGCAAACCGTAGGATGATCACACGGGTACTCCGGGATATCCCAGGACAACACTGGATTGCTCCAGGTGCCCAAACAACCACTGGGTGCTCCAGGGTGCCTCAACCAATCCACGCGGATGTGTATTAAAGTAGCCACCTTAAGTTTAACCATTAATTAAACTCTCACAACTGTCATGGATCACTCAACCAAACCACGTCTACGAGCATAGCATAGCGGTATAAGCATAACATAGAAGTAACTCCCATGGTTTGAATAAAGACAATAGGTTCTACCTCATCACTACTTCCCAATACCCACAAGTATTCAAGTCCTAACCATGCAGTGTTTGAGGATTGAAACTTATGCATAAAAACTGGGTAATAAGGGGTATGATCAAAGTGTTACTTGCCTTGCTGACGATCTGAAAACCCTAGTGACTCGTAGTAGCACGCTTCGCACTCCGAAAACTTTATCGCAAACAAACAATAGCATACATAAGCACTCAAACAATAGATGCAAGGGTAAATCTCAGAAGAAAAGATCCAAATCGAAAGTTCAACTCAAGAACTTCGATTTGCAAAAAGAATCAACCAAATCGTAGCAACGAAACTCAAACTACGATCTAAAGAAGTTCAAATTCAAATCTGCTTGCAACCAAATTTTAAATTGTCAAAATCATGTTCAAGTTGGTTAATTGGAAAGAGGGGTTCGAGACGAAGCTTTTGGCGTTGGTTTCACTAGATTTGGGCAAACGAGCAAAAAGTTGTGAGCGATTGAAGTTCAAAGGCTAATCTGCGATAAAAATAATCGCGGATAGGTCCTGGCCGAAAATAAAATAAAAGAAAAACACTAACGAACGGACGTTCGCTAACAGAGATAAACGGGCGAGCGTGTTCGCTAACAGAGACGTTTGGGTGAATGTTCGCTAAATAGAGCCGATCGAAAAAACCAAGAAAAACCGAGAAAACCCTAACCCTAAAATAAAACTGATCTAGATCAAAAACCGAAAAAACGGCGGCGGTTTTACCGGTTCACGGCGAAAACCGGTGGGTCGGCGTTGGCGGGATCCGGCGAACGGCGCGGCGACGTGGGGCGGCTCCGGCGGCGGCGCGGTGGGGCAACCGCGTTGGCGGCAGTGCGGTGGTGCTGCGATGGCAGGGTGGAGAGGCGGTGGGGGCCTCGGCCCTATTTAAGGAGGCCGGGGGCGGCGACTTGGGGAGGGGGCCGGCATGGGGTGGAGTCCGGCTCGGACTCCTCCTCGGCGTCCGTGCCATGCACGGCGGCGACGGGAGGAAGGCGGCGGCGCTACGGACTTCGGCCCGGCTCGGCTGGGCCTTTGCCCAGTCGGGCAGAAACTTTTTTTATAAATAAATTCCGCCGAAGAAAAATTCTAATAAAATATAAAAAAAATCTAAAAATGCCAAAAACAATTTTCACCTTCTAAATAAAATATTTAGAACAAAGTGAACATTTTTCTGGCCTAAAGTTGCAATTTTTAAAAATGTATATTTTTCTAATTCAAAGAAAAACTCAAATAAACTCCAAATAAAAAATATATTTGTTTTTAAAAATTTTCCTCCAATATTTCTCCCTTTTGAAGAAGTCATATTATCCTCTCTCTCTTTTATTTTTAATGTTGGAAATAATTGGAGAGAAAAGTATTAAAATCAAAATGATCCCTCTTTTCCAATTTGAGAAAAGTCAAATATAAAAATAAATGAAATCCCCAACTCTCTCCTTGGATCCTTAAGTTACTTAAGATTTCTAGGATCACAAACAAAATGTAAATAAAATATGATTTGTATATGATGACCTATGTATAACATCCAAATTGAAAATTGAGATGTTACACCCCTTCACAGTTTACGCCTCCGGTCATATTCACGTAGTGCTTAGGCGAAGCCCTGTGTGGATCACTTCACCATCACCGTCACCATGTCGGCGTGCTGACGGAACTCTCCCTCGACACTTTGCTGGATCAAGAGTTCGAGGGACGTCATCGAGCTGAACGTGTGCAGAACTCGGAGGTGCTGTATGTTCGGTGCTTGATCGGTCCGAATGAGAAGAAGTTCAACTACATCAACCGCGTTGTCAAACGCTTCCGCTTTCGGTCTACGAGGGTATGTGGACACACTCTCCCCTCTCGTTGCTATGCATCTCCTAGATAGATCTTGCGTGAGCATAGATTTTTTTAAAATTGCATGCTACGTTCCCCAACATTCACCAGGGGGATATTTCAATCAAATCAATGGAATCATAATTATCTATATATTCATGAATATCATAATTTCTCCCAAAGCAGCAGAATTCTCTCAATAAATTCTTTAACATAGGCATTAGAAGCATAGTTTTCATAGCAATATTTAAGTATGTCAAAACCTTCAGATTTGTAGAGAGTAATATCATATTTTTCAATCAAAGAAGCAACTTCATAAGCACTCTTAAAAGCAACAAATTCTTCAATTTGTTCGATATCGTAGTAACCATAAACACCTTTGGCATAAGAAGATACTATTTTCATTATCATTAAACTCACATAGGTAGGAAAGATATTTTTTAGGGTTCTCCGAGCAACAAGTAAAATCATAAATTTCACATAGATTCCAAGAATAGCATAGAGGATGATTAGATGGTATGCCGGTAGCGATGATCACCTAAATGGTGCAACAGTTGAGGTATGCGGGGTGGTGGTCCTGTGCAGTTTGGGTTGCAGGCAACTGGATCATGTGTCGTTTATGGCTCAAGGATGAGTGGTGGTACGTCGACATGGTGTCATGGGTTCTATATGTCACAAAGAAGTGACTAGAAATTGGGTGGCGACCTCGTGAATTCAGCAACATTGAGAACATTTGTCTTGTGTTGTGTGGACGATGGGGATTGTCTTTGATGTTTGATGTTGGTCAGTGGCATGCGCGTGTCTAAAATCGCTTTTGGCACTAGGGCTTGTGGAGCGATGCTTTCTTCACCTTCGCCGGAGCACCCTGGGCCCGCTCTCCCATAATTGTCATGACTTTTTCTCTCTCGCAATATAGTGAGATGTTAGCTTGGTTGTAGGTGTGTGTTTAGTTAGCGTCTTCTAGTATAAATTTTCTACGAGTTTTTGTGATTAACTAGGCAACAGTCTTGCTCTTAATTAGTGTGTTTTAAATAGAGAAAGTGTTTGCCACATGGGACATGTGGTTAGCAAACTCAAAATTCACATAAATAGAGAAAGTGTTTCTTGATGCAAATTTACAAACATGATTTTTAGAAGAAAAAAATGATACGGAGTATTTGATTAATTCTTTACATGCCCTCGAAGAATTAATCAGTTTCGCGAAACGGACCCTTCATGTGGACGAGGGAGGCAGACAAACGAAGCATTGCTTGCCCTGCCCGGCCACGCCGTGAGCGCCTGAGCGGTGAAGCAGCTCCTCGGCGGGTCCGAACTCCAACAGTATAGAAATCCGAAAATCGCCGCGTCGCCAGGGCCATCCGCGGCGAGCCTTTGACTTCTCCCACCCCCACCTTCAGCATAGAACCAAAAAACCCGCTGATCCGAACCGCCGAGTCCAGTCCCCCCTCCCGATCCGGCGACGATGGAGGGCGGCGCCGACGCCTTCGGGTCCTCGACCGCGCCGCTGGCCTGGCACGACTTCCTCGAGCGCATGCGCCAGCCTTCCGCCGCCGAATTCGTCAAGTCCATCAAGGGGTCAGCGCCCCTCCCCTCCCCTCCGCTCCCGCTCCCCCCCAAATTCCATGCTGGGCTCATAAGCTCGATTCAGTTCGTGGTGTAGAGATCCGGGATGTTGGTTTAGTGCAATCGGTTCCTCCCTGCGCGATGCGCGTAACTTCAGTCAGTTAGATGAGTCATTTTGCAGTCGTTTAGTGGGAATTTGGTACACCTTGAGTGCGGATCCAAGGGGATTCTGCTGCTGTGCCAGTTTGTTTGAAGAACTTAAACCTACGATTACTAACCATCGTTTATGTAGGGTTCAGCGGCATTCCGGTTTGCCAAGTTTGAGCTGATGCACATGAATGCTTGCAGTATAATGCAGATGTATTGGGCAGTGTAACAAAGCTTTCCAGAAACTCACAGGATCTGCGCGTACCCGTACCTAAGTGAATACATGAGCTTAGCTAGATGGTTACTAGGTTTAAGTGAAACAACTACTTTGGGTGCAGGGCATGGAATTTACTGTGCTTATTATTCTGTGTTTGAAGATAAGTCTCACACGCTTATATTTAGAGATAGATTAAGGTTAGATTTTCCCGTAGCATCAGCAACCAAGGTCGAATCCTGAGCTCCAACTGATTGCGAGGATCCTTTAGTCAAAAATTGATCAGTGCCTTTGTTTTTCTCTCCATATGCTGCTAAGAAGACTAGAAGCCCCCCATTAGTGAATTAATGCCGCATGAACCTGTGGGAATAATGGTACTTCTATATGCAAGCAAAAATATACTGTGGGGCCTCACCACCCCCAACTAGATTCAGTGCCAGTGTTTAGTTAGTACTTGCTATTTATGTAGGTTTTCATGTAAACAATACGAAATTAATGTAGTTATATGTTGTATACAGCTTTATCATGACGTTCTCAAACAGAGCACCTGATCCAGAGGGAGATAGCACAGCTGTTCAAGAGTTCCTTGAAAATATGGAAGGTGCTTTCAGAGCCCACACTCCTTGGGCTGGCAGTTCTGAAGAAGAACTAGAGAGTGCCGGTGAGGTAATTTGCTTATTATGTTGCCCTGTTAATACAACTACATGTCCAGAGGGATAAGGATTAGCATTGCATTCAAAACCTTTATCTTCATATTGATTGCAAAATTTCTGGAATTCTCATAAACAAAATACTGTTCTTCATCTTGGCTTTTGGTTGATGCAATTTAAGTATCCAGTAAGTATATGCACTTTTTGACATGGTTGGACCAAGACTTTGACTAGGTTTGTCAGAATGTGATTTCTTTCTCTTGTTTTGTTGTCTTGCTTTTTTATTTTTTGCTGATGTTTTGATATATATGGCGCTTCTAATCTATTTTATGATCCACATGATTGCATAGCTTTGTCACATTATCAAAGTCATATATGGCACTCCGGCCCTGATGCATAATGGCAATCTATTTTATGATCATAGTGGAATATCATTTTGAATGTTCGACAAGCAATCTGTCATCCTTAGCAATAACTTATATCTAGACTTTAACAGTGATGACTAATATTTTGCATAATGGTATTCGGATATGGGCGTGAAATGTTTTATTCTTGGACAGGCCATGTTTTCACTGGAATTGTTTGTGGTTTATCTTTTCATGTTAGCACTCTCAAAATCTCAATAACCGGCTGCATGTCTGACATATAGATTATAAATAACCATTTTTGCTCAGGCTTCACTGTGTAAGAACACTGAGAATTTGTTATTTCATTTCTTCTGAATAAAAAAGTGTTTGATGTCATACTTTCTTGCAGCAGTGAAGTTTTACGTTAGTCATGTGATTAATACTAGCAGTGTTGAATGCCAAGTATTAATATATTCTACTATAGCCATGCTGCTGTCCTAATAACTTGTAGTTGAGGCTCAATGTGGTAAATCTTTGTATCTCTAGGTGTCATTACTTTAGTTGCGAATAATTTTGTCATGCTGATCTGGCACACATACTAGTTTGTTCTTAGACTATTTATTATTTCTAGCATATAACATTTGTTGTCATTTCTTGTTCTGTGCTTCTAGGGCCTCGAGAAGTATGTTATGACCAAGCTGTATAATCGGGTATTTGCTTCAGTCCCGGAAGATGTGAAGAGCGACGAAGAGCTTTTTGAGAAGATTTCTCTACTCCAGCAGTTTATACGTCCTGAAAACTTAGACATAAAACCAGAATATCAGAATGAAACATCATGGCTGGTATAAAATTTAACCTCCCTATTTTCTCAAAATTCCGTATGCCGGATGTTGTGTTATTGCACATGTTGATAGCTGTCTTTACAGATGAAAGTTTTCAAGCTGAAATTGAGCTATGGTACAATTGTGATGAGTAGGTCGTAGAGCAAAACGTTTGGACCTACCTATGCTAAGCATGTCATTCTTCCTACTCATTACACTTTACTATTTATCATTGATGCCACTCTTGACATTGCCGCTGCCAAATGCCAATTACCCTTCTCAGGGAGAGTAGTTAAAATCATTGTTAGTTTTAAAACAAACATAAATTTTTCATGTTGCATTGTAGAGCATTTTTAAGTTAGAGCTGACAGACACATAACGGTGAAGCCATTTGGGACCCAATGACTGTTCCAATAGCATGCATTTTATGGCCCACTCGTCATATACATGGTCACCATTAATTTCTTCTTCTTTTATTCAGCTTGCACAAAAGGAGCTACAGAAGATAAACATGTATAAGGCTCCAAGGGATAAGCTTGCTTGCATCCTGAACTGTTGTAAAGTCATCAATAACTTACTTATGAATGCTTCTCATATGTCACATGATAACCCCCCTGGAGCTGACGAATTTCTTCCAGTCCTCATCTATGTCACCATAAAGGTATGGTTCACTGCTTGTGCTAGGACATGTTGATTGTTGGTGAGATATTTCTAGAAGTCCATCTTTTGTAAAATGAAGTGTCTATTGTTAGCAGTACTAAGGGCTGTTTGGTTCTAGGCCTAGCATTGCCACACTTTGCCATATATTTTTGCCAACCTTGCCTAAGCTTAGTTCATCAAAATGAGAGCCACAAGTTGGCAAGCCTAAGGGAATCTTGCCACACTTTTTGTGTGTATGCCATGTGGGGCTCAAGTGCGGCTTGCCTAAGGTGTGGCTTGAACCAAACACTCACCTAAGTTAGTCAAACTTGCCTAACCTGAGGTGTGGCAACCTTTGGCAAAGTTAGTCACAAACCGAACAGCCCCATACGTTTTTGTTTCAACTGTCAACAGGGCTTTGCCTATTGGTCGACATGGCTCAACTTCGATATACGTTGAAAAATAGCTGCAAATTGTAACTGATGGTGTGGTTTATTTGTTATGTCATATACATGCTTCTTCAGTATAGGTGTCAGTGCACTGTGTGACCTAGCTTTATTGTTTCTCTTTGTAACTTTTTTATTTTATCATTGTACCTATCTAGTCTAACGTAGCCTTCATATTTTGTCATCCTGATAGCAAGCTTGTGGTGTGATGTACGTATTTGACTATTGTTGCTTGTATTGAACCTACTAGACTTCCTTACATCTGTGCCCTCCCGGCTCAGCCTGTCAAGGTTTCATTCGGTAACTTTAAAACGGTAATCGGCAAAGATGCCCTTGTGCCATGCGCTGCTGCTTTATTAGTTTTATTTATTCATTATCTGGATTTGTGTGGGATGACCCTTTTTTGTTGTTGGCTTACAAAACACACCTGTAGATTTATACTAAATTACTAAATTGGGGTAGCCTTCATGAATCAAGTAGTTTCTGTTCTTAATGCAGGCTAATCCTCCGCAGTTACACTCAAATCTTTTATACATACAAAGATACAGGTGCCAATCACGACTGGTGTCAGAGGCTCAATATTTTTTTACAAACCTCCTATCTGCCGAGTCTTTCATTTGGAACATTGAGGCGGAATCATTATCCATGGATGAACGAGATTTCCAGAAGAAGATGGATTTGGCAAGGGAACGCTTGTTAGGATTATCAGTTGGCTCAGAGAATCAGGAGAATCAGACCAATCTTGATGCGGGGGAGCATAGACCACAAGCACTAAAAGCTAGTGGAAATTCCGATGTCAACCTACCCTTGAAAGATCATATCCAAGGTCCAGTTCAGGACATGAAAAGGGAAAGTGATGTGAGCAGTAAATCAGTTGAGCGGGTGCAATCTATCTCTGATTTAGAGAAGAAGGGAGCTACAGAGCTTGTCAAGGATGACGACTTGAACAAAATATCCCAGGAATACCCATTTCTATTTGCCCGTGCTGGTGATCTGACAGTTGCTGATGTAGATAACCTTTTAAACTCTTACAAGCAACTAGTACTTAAGTATGTAGCACTCTCCAAGGGGATGGGTGTCACCCCTGAAACTCCTCTTGTTCAGAACATGCAAACTGCATCCCATCTTCAGATATCCGAGGAGCCTGAGAATGTGAAGAATGTTGTAAATAGTTGCGACAGCACTGAAGCAAGCAACAAGGCTCATGAGGACATTAAAAATGAAATTCCTGACTCAGAAGTCAGCAACATCAGTACACAACAAGCCGCTGTTGACGAATCATCAGGTCAGCCAGAGCATGCGTGAGCTGGCACTCTGGTCAAGCCGGTGAAATCAATTGGGTGAAATACAGACAGTGAGAACATTGCCTTCTGCAGTTCGTTCTTAGTATACCAAGAGGCGATAAGCAGCCGCGGAGCAGAATATGCATATTCCCCCTGAGCAGATATGCCGCGGTCCTTGATGCCACAATTGTACATGCTGGAAACTAGAAAGCAGATATTGGGTACCAAGGCAGATGGAAATTCTTTCTGCTGAAGCTAGATCCAGATCCAAACATTTGTTAATTGATCCTTGGGGCTCTTTATTTTGTTGTCAGTTGGACTTTGTGGTGACTGCCATTTTGTAAACTGTTATTATGTAACTAGAATTTCCATAAGAGCAGGTAGAATTCGTGCCAATATTCAGAGTAATTTATGTACCTGAATGTGGTTTCTTAATCAGCGCATCCAGTCATATCGTACCAGCCCGGGGTGATGACCTCTTTTACTTCTGTAGAGATCGGATCTTAAGATTCATTTCCCATCATCTTAAGATTTTCAAGGCAATAATGACTACATTTTGTTCGATTCATTTGCGGGGTATGAACCCAAGAACCTCCACCGATGACACAGAACCAGGTAACATAGTACAGTATTATTTTCAGCTTCATAATCATACTGAAATATTGAGTAGTTTTATGTGTGTGTAAGTATAAAGAAAAAACAGTGAAGAACCATTGTCTTGATTAACTTTGCTTGCTTCACTGCACATTGAGTAGTTTTGTCGATTACGATCAGGAATACAGATATCTACCATGGGAACCATCAGGATCTACAAAAGGTTTCCAGCATTATTTTTTGCCTTTTTCGCTTTAGTTTTCCCCTGAATTTCTTTAGTGGCGTCCTGCCAGTCCTCATTAGAATACGGAGGAATAAGAGATATACGTGTTGATCCTGCGTCATAGGTTGAGCTGTCCAGAACATGCTTGTGTTCTGCCGGTGTTTCCGGTTTGCTCCAATGTCAACTCACTCACCACTGGTTCGTCTTTTACAATTGCGGAGGTGAGCAGTGAATACTGCCTTTGCTAGAGCAATCGACATCAAGCATCTCTGAAGCAATATATAACGTAAGTGGAGCATTTTCTTGCTGCTGTATTTTGGTCCTCAGCTGCTAGGGTTCACCGGCGTCCTGATCCTGAATTCTGGTGGCCGGTGATAAAGTAATTAGATTCTTAGACACCGAGATCATGTGCAGTCGTACAGCTGTTTCTTAGACACCTACATCTCTCTTAGCAAAACTCAGGTGCATGGAGGCGACTGAAGGTTGGTACTCCGACAGAGTGCACAGAAATTCGAGCCGAAAAGGACCCGTATTGATGGCGTTGCCGTACACAAACACCTGCAACGAACTAGGCAGGACCTGCGTAGTACTGCTTCCACACCGCAACTGGTCATGCCGTGTCACTCTGCTTGAAGACGGGAGGGTGTGAACACCGAGCAGACTTAACACTGGATGACCAGCTGGAGTAAGTGGGAAAGGGAGAACAGCTAATGGGAGCGCTGGAATCTTAGCTAGATCATCCTCAAAAAGAAGAAAAAAAGGAATATCATCCTCAAAAAGGAATCTTAGCTAGATCGAGGGCATTGGATTATCATCTTTACAATACCAAAAAAACCAGAGTTGCAGAGTTACAGACGAGCACAGCTTAGCTCCTGCGAGTGAGCTGTTCTGCTTAGACGCCAAGCCTCCGCACGAGACCCAAAGCGCGTTCTCGGGAGCACTTTCCGATTAAACTAAACTAATTGTAATGATCAACAACAGAAAAATGGAAGCAAAACGGAACAAATCCAACAGGTATCCAATGCAGACAGTCTCGCTCGATTCACTCATGAACCCATACAGTGTAGTAGCAGTGGTATTACTAACGTCTCGCCAAATAAACACACACATAGTAGTATATATTGTATAAGTATTACGTATGTTCTTACTAAATGAACGAAAGAATCTATGGAAGCACACTTGGAGTGAGACCTAGCTAGAGCCTAGTAGAGAGGATCCATGCATGCACCTAGCTAGCTTCCATGGGAGAAAGAAAAAACCAATGATCAATGGTGATCGACTCATGGATGCCCGTATGAATGTCGATCCATTCGAGACGGTGGACGCTTCACTCTAGCAGAAGCTCCACAGCCTCATCATCTCGCCGTCCTCCTCGGGCTCCTCCCAGGTCGACGAGAAGGGCGTGGCGTGACCGGCGGCGATGAGGTCCATGAGCTTGGGGGACGCGAACGCGTCCAGCTCCGTCCACAGCTCGTCGTGATCTCCCACCGGCGAGCCAGCGCTGGCCATCGAAGACGTGGCGTGCTCCTGGACGTCGGCGCTCCCCAGTGTGGACACTGAGACCGAGGTCGGCGTCGTCGCCTCGGCGCTGGAAGAGCAGCTGTCGTCCACGACGCCGGCGACGATCCTGGTGGCTTCAAAGGCCGCTGCCGCAGCGGCGGCCGCGCGCTGGATGGACCTCGGAGACAGGTCGTCGGCGTGCTGATCGGCGGGGGAGGGAAGCGAATGCGGCGACGAGGGCGAGGCGGAGGACGAGGAGGGGAAGTTGAGGACGGCGTCGGAGCCCTTGAGGCAGAGGAGCGCGGCGTCGTAGGCGCGCGCGGCGGCCTCCGGGGTGGCGTAGGAGCCGAGCCAGATCCGGCGCTTCTGGTGCGGCGCCCTGATCTCGGACACCCACGACCCCCAGCTCCGCATCCGCACCCCCTTGTACTGCCTCACCGCCATCGCCGGCTGCCTACTCCCGCCGCCGCACAGCGCCGCCGTCCCACCCCCACCACCGCTCTCTGCCATAGCCGCCGCAGCCTCGCACCTGCTAGTGCCGCCGCCCGGGTGGTTCTTGACCATTTTCCACGCGCTCTAGCTCCCTGCTGCTGAGATGAGATCTTGCTGCCACACCACACTGGTGAGTTCCGTACTTATAGTGAGGGAGGCGACGTGTGAACGGCTGAACGCTGCTAGGGAGTTCGATCGTGGGAAAGGGGGCAGTGTCACTCTCGCGCACGCAAAGTCACCACGTACTACGTACGTAGGAGTATGTACGTACGTGGTCCTAGACTCTAGTAGTGGAGAAAGGGCTGGCGCTATTCTACACTGCTTAACTTGCATTTGGAAGACTCCGTTTTCGATGAAGTGACCGAGACCAAGGCTGGCTAGATCGCAGCAAATGTGCTATGCCTACGTGTGATGTACCCACTTTGCCCTTGCCTAGCCAGGCTTGTCTGAGAAGGAGCGTATAGCCAGATCTCGGGAGAATGTACGGTGTAGCTTGTGGCTTGCCTTCCTGGACGCTTCGGCTGTACTAGTATTAATTGTGGCCAGAAAAGAAAAGAAAAGAAACGAAAACTGGCTAGTACATACACGCATGGGCAGCTGCCAAACTTGCCTGATGCTGTCGGAAAACCTATAATTAAAGCCACTGAAAGAGCTGTAAAACCAGATCCATCTCATCAGCTGCCATCGTGCCATGCATTTCAGTACATGGAACCGGGGGAAAAGCCCTATATCTATATATTATTATCATACATACAATACAAGCAAGAGTTTAGCTGCCATGGAAATTATATATAAGCCGGCCTAAAGTATACGATGCTCAATTATTCGTCAGATTTCAGACGTTGATCTGCGCGCCTCGTATTATGTACTGTACACGGGCATTTCTTATTAAGTTCTGCGGCCATGCATATATAACTCGAACGTACGTACGTCATGGGCTCATCTCATGGGCATGACAGATTATCTGCACTGCTGCAGCTGCGCCCCACGTTATAATTAAGTAACGGCAGACGGTTAGATGTGCTCTTAAAAAAGCGCGTAGTACCTCCGAGAGAGTCGTCGCGCCCAAGCAAGTTCAAAGGCGCCCGTACATCCATGCATGGAGAGTGAGAGGTCAGATCATCCACCAGGCATGAGAAAAGCTGTGCGAGATGATCAAGTGCCTGTGCACATCTCGGTGTAAAGATTGGCACGCTCCGATGCCCTCCACGGCAAGTGATCAGGCTGATAATAGCGCTGCTGGATTCCCTGATTAGGAAAGCGGTAACGTTCCTCTTCGAGTGATACCCAATTAGTGTCCATCATCATGTAGGGAACGAACGGCATTACTGTGTCGTCTGTGGACCCAATGTTTTCTTGCAACGCAAATGACATGCCGGCATAACATCTCGGTTACTCGGAAAAACACTGATCGGGCAGTACCCGGTGCCTGACGCGGATCAAGAAAAATATACTTCCTTATATTCATGTTAATTATCCCTGATTTATTACAACGAGAGTGCCGGTGCTTGTATTTGTCGTTACGTGATCTACGGACGCGGATCAAGAAAAATATACTTCCTCATATTCATGTTAATTATCCCTGATTTATTACAACGAGAGTGCCAGTGCTTGTATTTGTTGTTACGTGATCTACGGACCTGGATGTAAATTTTACTTCTAGTGTTCTTTAGAGCATCTCTAACAGCCGCGCAACGCGCGGCGCATTAAAAAGGCGTTTGCAGCGCGCTGATCAACTGTTTTTGCGTGGCGAGGAGCGCTTGCTCCAGCGGCTGCTCAAAAGTTTAGTGCGCGCGAGCCGCTCCAGCAGACGCTGCAAAAAAAACTGCGCGCGCTCTCGCACAAACAACATATGCACTTTAAACAAATATAATAAAACATAGGCATACATTAAAATAGATTAAAAAACGATACATATATAGTTCATAGCGTACATAGTTCATCATAGCATAGATAGATATAAAAAACTAGTCCAATACGATAAAATAGATAAAAACTACAGTGCAACTAGAACCTACCCCAAGTTGTCCTCCTCGCTGGTGTCGTCCAAGGTATTGAGAAACACGTCTTCCCAACGAGGATCGTCTTCGTCAAAGAACGACTCCTATCGAGATCGCATTGCGCCGACGCGAGTGCCTTCCACCGACGCATGTCCGCCCGCACCACGCGGCGCCTTGCCGTCCTCTCCGCCCAGAAGGCGTTCTCGTCGGCGACGTCCTGCGGGTAGCACCGGCGCCACTTCACCATGGCTAGCTCATCCGCCTCGGCGATGAGGAGGCGGCGCTGACGTCTGCG